AGCTTGAAATAATCCTCAGTAGCATATTTTGGGGTGTCATAGTCTGGTCTCCTATAGTCTATATGAGACCAAGGTCCAGCCACTCACTGCTTGAAAGTCAGTACTTGAGAGCTGACAGTTGATAAGAAGGAAATCCATTTATTTACTTTAGGTCCTAAGAAGATGGAATGAGCTATCATCCTCAAAGCTCCATCTTGGAAAACTCAGGTACATGAAAGGGGCTCATCCCATCTTTGTAGGGTGTAAGGATTAACAGGTAGGAAACCTACATGCTAGGGGGAGTCTTCCTCAACCACAGTGTGTCTCCTTTTCTCTTCTCTGACTAAAGAATTGCAATGGACCTTGACCTCTGGGAGCTATTTTGTATAGTTCTTTAGATAGACCTATTAATTTTCTGCAAGTTAAACCTCATAGCAGTTGACATGCTCTGTGTTAGTATATGTACAGAAATAAGGAATAAGGAGGGGCATTACATATTCTGATGTAATCTGAGGGTCACCAGATGTTCTGGGTTCTGTAAATCTAAAGAAAGATTATTTAGCAGTTTACATCTTCATTATTTAGATGCAGCTTCTCTTTAGGATTTAGAATGCTAGGCAAAGAGAGAAGGAGTAACCGTGCCAAGGACAACCCACAAAGGAGTGCCCCACTGGTACACAGTCATGGATATTTGGGGTACCGTATTCTTGATGTCCTTCATTAGTATCATCATCCTGTGTGACTATGCTCTAGATGAACTGACAGCGAAGAAATATTGAAGCCACATCTATGGGTGAAAAACAAACTCATATGAGAGGTGTCTCTAGCAAGACCTCCTCAAGTCATACCTCAGAGTGGCAGCTGAAAAGACCTGGCCTAAGAGTTCTTTAAAAGGATTTAGGTTTATAGGTTCCACTTGGCTCATTTATCCTACTGATACCCCTACCCCTACTTAAACTTCAGAAACTTATGTGTAACTATTATTTTCATCCAGGGAAATCCTTGAGACTCATTATTATCCACACAGTATAATTTGCCAAACTTAAGCTTCATAGAGATCATCTTTTGACACAAGTTCCAATCCAATGCTTAGTTTTTGTCTTAACTGATATGTCATTTCAAAATGACCTGGCAAATACTTGTAAAAGGGAAGGGAAAAAATCTTTTCTGCTATGCATCTTGTGTTCTGAAGCTGAGGCCCTATAAATTAGACTGACCAGAGATTAATTAACAAGAGAAAAACAAAAAAAAATATGTCCATTCTGCATTGGAGCATTCATGAGTACCCAAAGGGGTGGAAAAGAATTTGGAATTTAATACTATTCTAGATTAAAACAAAGGAAAGGGGGGTTGGGGCTTTGGAAGGGCAGGGATTTTTAAAGAGTTGTCCAGGAAAAGTATGGCAACAAGTTCTATTATGTAGATTTAAGTCAGTGCCTGCTTCACTGATAAGAGTCCTTCTTTTGATACAGGAGAGGGAGGTATTTGGTCAAATGGAAATTTTTTTATGAATGTAAATTTCCTTTACAAAAATAAAACTGTACCCAATTTTTAGAGGTTTTCCCGCATCCCTGATTAATGCAAAGTAACAGTTTGTTGGGAGCCATGTGTGAGCCGTGTGTGAACTGGGCAATGTTCGATTCATTAAGGCAGGGAAGCCGCTTTTCCGGGAACTCCTAGGTGAAATTTCCCAGTTTAAGAAAGCCCAGATCATGCTGGCATTCTGAACTAGATCACAGCTCCAAGTTCAAACACAGCTGATGGAGATGGGCATAACCTGCCAAGCACCAACAACCTGTTTATCTCCACTCCCATCCTGTTCCTGCTGAAGGAGATCCCTATCCATCCCCTTTGATCTGTACCAATATAAATAAAGCAAGTGCAGGCCTTTTCTTTGTTAGAAGTCGGACCCCTCTGGTCAGCTCAACTGTCACACCCCTGCTCTGAAAATATATGATTCTTGCCTTTTCCTCTTTATTTCTTGATATATTGCTTTCATAACTTATTTCAGAACCAGCCCATCTCTCCGATGGGTACTTACTCCCTCGCCCATGCAGGACTAAAGAGGCATGCTTTGGGGTGGCAGACTCAGGTACCCTTCACCTGCAGCTTGCTCTCAAACCTTATGAGTAAGTTAAATCAAATGCCTACACTGCTCCCTTCAATGTAGTGCATAACACCTTTTTTAATCAGCTTTTTTATCACTATGACCAAAAGGCCTGAAAAAAAAAAAATTTAGAGGAGGAAAAGTTTATTTGTTGCTCATGGTTTCTGAGACACAGTCCATAGTTGACTGACTCTATTCCTCCAGGCTTAAGGTGAGGTAGAACATCACAGGGAAAGGGTGTGGAGGAGGAAAGCTGCTCCGGAAATGGCAATAAGGAAGAAGAGAGAGAGCTCCACTTACCAGGGACACGGAAAGCATGCCTCCAGGGACCTATCTCCTCTGGCCACACCCTCCCTGCCTACAATTACTGCCTAGTAAATCCATTTTGGTGGATTAATCTACTGATTAGATCATACCTCTCAAAGTCTAATCATTTCACCCCTGAGAACTCTTGTGTTGTCTCATTAACTTCTGGGGGACACTCTAAACCAAACAGGGCCCTGAACCCTACATCTTGAATGTTTTCCTTTGCCTTTGCCCATCCACCATCCTCCAGGTGTTTATTTCCCTACTACAAGATAGCATAGCATTGTCCAGCACCACCCAGCATTAGCCAGCACAGTGCACATGACCTTTGAGTTGGATACAAGATAATACCCCTGCAAATTGCCTGTGCTCTGACTCTGATCCAACTTTATTCAACACTTTTCATCTTTATCCCTCAATCATTGTCCTTATTAATTTATTCACCTCTCCATTTATTAAAAAATTTGTCTTGTACATCTGTTATTGACTAACCCTGGTGTTACAGTGATGTACACTATCAAAAATAAGTGCAGACCTTGCCTTCATGAAGCTTCTGGTCTAATTGGGGTGTGAAGGTGTATTACCTGAGTAGCCACATAAATAAATGTTGTAAGTTTGCATATGTAGGGATGAGGAACTTGGAGCACATCACAAGGAGCCTCTACTTTGGTTTGGCATTATCAAAAGAACGGGTAGCAATTAACTAAAGAAGAATGAGAAGTGGCAGCTGTACCAGACAAAGAATAGTAGATGAGCTGCCCTGAGGTAGAAAGAACTTGGCACTTGAAGGACTGGAAAGAAGGCCCGTGTGGCTGAAGAGTAGAGAATAGGAGGAATGAGTCTTTGCTTTGTCTTGCCTTTGAGTCACAAGTGGTGGAAGATTAATTAGATCATTGATTTTTCAGGTGTCCCAAGTATGAAGTCGCTTTGACACATGTCAGGTAGACAGTTAAATACAAAGATCTAGAGCAAGGACTCTAAAACCAAGAATGATTTTATTCTCCCAGGGTATATTTGCTAACATCTGGAGACATTTTTAGTTGTCACAACAGAGTGTGAGGTGCTACTGGCATCTAGTGGGTAGAGGCCAGGGAAGTCACAAAACATTCTACAATGCACATGACAACTCCACTCCTCAAAGCAAAGAATTGCCCAACCCAAAATATCATTAGTGCCAAAGGTAAGAAATCCTGGTTTTCAGATATCTGACAATCATTGGCCAAATGCTTTGACACTGATGAGATCACATAGAGAGAGAATAACAGTGAGAAGGAAATGTCTCTCCTGATCAGCAGTAATCAACATTTCTGCTCAGTTCTTTCAGATTCCAGCTGCAATAGTTTGGGGTTTTGTTTTTGTTTTTTCCCCAGTCCCCCGGTATATGCAGAGTTCAACAGTCAGTGACTTGGGAAGATTTAATACACAGATTTAGGAGCTCATCCCCGCTGCAGCTCCTTCCCCTTCAGCATTTTCCCCCTGCACTTCCTGGCTGTTATTCTACCCAAGCTCTATTCTCTGATACCTCAACCTAGTAAAACCTTCACTTTCTGCTGTCCTAAATTTCTTGAAGATTGAACTGCCCTCGGGCAAAGAGCTGCAAATTCACAAATTTCTAAAGGTGTAATTCTTTCTTTCCAAAGAAAGCTAACCTACATTTGGCTAACCTCCATTGCCATAATCACACACACACACACACATACACACACACACTTCATAACATAACAATAATATAATTGCTTAGTTATGAATAATTTTATAATTGTTATCTGCAGGAAGATTATTCTATATAAGCTACTATGTCACTATCAGAAGCCAGAAGTCTTGTCTTTGTTTTTAGGACAATAAAGACTTGGGCATGTTTAATGGATGATGACAGATCATGGGACATCTACTAGAGTGAGTGAAAGAGAAAGGAAGCCCCCCACACACTACTGATCCCAGGGCAGAAGACTTTAGGTCTAAACATTTAATGTTCTAAACCAAGCTAATAAGCTATTAAATAAAATATGTTCTACTAACTTACTTTTAGAAACATACCTTCTTGATGGGCTGGAATGCCAGGTTTGAATTTGGCCAGTGATTCAGAGAAAACTATCCAATGACTAGAACCCCATCCCATTTCCATCCCTGTTCCATACCCCATTTCAGAGACTGCCTGCACATGAGTCTTGATATCTCAACCTACATGTCCAAGTTCTAGTCATAGCTCCAAGTCTAGGAGTCCAACCACTGCAGGGTGATCTGTACTCAGGAGGAGGGACCCGGGGAAGAGAACCACAGTTTCTGAAGCATCTTTAGGGTCATTCAGTCTGTTAATTCTGGGGTCCTGGGTACCTGGTATAGAGGGAGAAAAAAGGGTACAGACTCTGGAAAACACAGGCTTGGGGGGGGGCACATTCCTTGGCCCCATGGGCTCTAGACCCCATGGAGAAGAATAATAGGAGGAGGGCAAGAATAAGACCTTCCAAATGTGTGGCTTTGGGAAGGGATCACTCTTACCCAGGTCTATGGGCAAAATTAAGTGATGCAATGCCTAGCGCTCATGATCTTTGCTTTGTTCCAAGTCTGACTGCCTGGTTTCTCTGTGTATATGTGTTTGTTTCCCTAGCGGGCTGTTTATCACCATTCATGACAAAGGCCATCTTGCAACAATGTTGAACTCTTGGCCAGAAGACAATATCAAGGTATGATCCTATTTTCATTGCTTTTGCTCTAATGTTGGGTGAATCCTTTCAACTTGCCATCAGTCATTTCCGCCTATAAAATGAGGATTATGATACAGAAGGATACATACTGCACACCTTTCTCAAGACCAGACCAGAGAACTGTTATAGCAAAACCACAGAGCAGAGATTTACATTAACAAGGCACCCATATGAAATTGCCTATCATCATTGTCACCACCATCATCATCATCCAGAATATATATTCATCCTATCTGCTAAATATATAGTGCCAATTTCCATGATGAATACGGGGGAAATCAGACCGTATTTTCAAGTAGCTGCCATGCCATAAAGGAAATAAAATATACACACTGTTTTAGTCAGCTTTTTCGCTGCTATGACTAAAAGACCCAACTAGCACAATTGTAGACGAAGAAAAGTTTATTTGAGGGCTCACAGTTTTAGAGTTCTTAGTCCATAGACGGCTGGCTCTATTCCTCGGGGCTCAAGGTGAGGATGAACATCATGGAGGAAGAGTGTGGCAGAGGGAAGCAGTTCACATGGTGATCAGAAAGCAGGGAGAGATGTCTCCACTTTCCATTTACAAATATATACCCCAAAGACATGCCCCCAATTCCCATCTCCTCCAGCCACACCCTACCACTTTAGTTACCACTCAGTTAATCCCATCAAGGGATTATTTCACTGATTGGGTTAAGACTCTTCCAACCCAATCATTTGTCCTCTTGTCTCACATGTGAGCTTTTGGAGGATGCCTCAGACCCAAACCACAACACACACCAAAGACTAGCAAGGCAGAACTTGACCAGAGAAAAGTGAAGTCTACAGGAAGAACTAAGGGTAGACAAAGAGACTACTTTTAGCTCAGGGGAAGTCTTGGATGACTTCAAGAGGAAAAAGACATTAGAAGAGGGCGTTGAGTTTGGACCAGTCAGGCATTGTAGATTGGGGCATAGCTGAGGATCTTCTACACAAAGCTTCTAGTGAGCAGTGTTTTCCCTCTCGGGTTCATGGACCCCAGGTATACACGACAGTAGGGCTATATATACAGAATGACAAAGCAAACCTGGAACTTCTTCCTGGAGTACCAATTTTAATTAAAAAAAAACTTAGGGAGAAAACATTTTTATATAACAAACAGGATAGAATATGGAATGCAACTGTTATGTTAATTTTTTAACATAAAACATATACAACTTTGCAGAAATTTATTAGCTTCTGGCTAAATCTCCAGATCTCCTCCTGCCATAAGGATTTCTATGGACAAGTTTGAGGGAGGGTCTCTACCATCAATGGTCATTGTCACTTCTGAAAACAACATGAGTGAAAGAAAATGCAAAACATCTTCTGGCTGCCTAGTGAGAGTATATCTGGTACATGATCCAGGAAGCACTGGGGCTAACCAAGTGTGGTACAAGTAGTCCTTAGGGCCAAGGTTCACACCACCCTGCCTCCACTGGGAGGCTGTGGCACTCCAAAATTATTTTCTCGCCAGGGCCTCCCTCCTCCCTCTATCCCTGCCAGTTTGCCTTCTACAAAAGGCACCAAATATAGCTTCTTTTTCCTATCTGTGTTTGTGTTCCACCCAATTCTGACCCTCTCTGGGAAGTGTTATCATGAAGAACCACAGCAGGTAGGGGGATGGTGGAGCAGGACTTCTGTGTGCATGTAACTTGCCCTGTGCTTCTCTTTTCTGCTGATCTGCTTAGACACCAGTTATATGTAGGCCTTGGCCTTGCAGGTTTGTGTCTCAGTCCCAGGGAATCAATTTTCCAGGGCATGTCTAGGATGAAGCTATCATAAAATCTTGAGAACATTGAGAAGAGCCAGTTCACTCGAAGGGGAGCAAACTCCAGGCTAACCTGAGTAGGCATAGCTGAGGGCCTGCAAGCTAATCTTTTTCACATTCCTGGACAGTGCAACCATGGGAAACCTTGGACATAGTAGGCACTCAGGAAATGCTTGCTGAGTTGAATGAACTCAGTCAACAACTGTGTTGAGCAACTTCCATGTATCAGGCACTGTGCCAGGAACAGCAGAGGGGTCCCCATTAATAAACAGTGTGCTTTTTTGTAAATTACAAGTAAATAGAAGAAGAAAAAGTTCCACCCATGCACACCAACTTAAGCAGAAATAAAAAGGCACCCATTCCTTTAGGCTGGCACTGGGACTGGATTTCAGGTTTCAGTTGCTTCGTTTCATAGGGCACAATTTGTAAAAATATTACCAGGGCCATGCTGCGAGAGATGCAAAATAAGAAAAGCATGAACTCTGCCCCCAAAATGCTTTATATTAGGGTTGGAAAACCATGATATGAATTCAAAATAGAAACTTAGGGGGCTGGGGTTGTGGCTCAGTGGTAGAGCACTTGCCTAGCATGTGTGAGGCACTGGGTTTGATCCTCAGCACCACATAAAAATAAATGAATAAAATAAAGGTATTGTGTTCATCTACAACTAAAAATATTTTAAAGAAAGAAAGAAAAAGAAACTTAGGAGCCAAATATCCACTGATTTCGCTGAACATATTTTGAGACTCTATTAAATATGGAGTGCTAATTACCAGAGAGATGGAGACAGTGATTTTAGAGGAAGAGAAATGGAGGTTTGGGGATCACCCTAGAAGAAGTGGGACTCAAACAAGCCCAGAGAGACATCCATACCCTTAAGAACAGTGTAAGTTATGAGCAGATCTGGGCCAGTGAGAGGCATCTAACTCAGTTGCACTTGGTCATCATTCAATAAACACCTACTCTTTAAGAGTTCCTGGGGACTAACCCTAATAATGTGTGTACACACTGAAGGGAACTTGAGTGGACATTGTTATTACCAGAGGTGTCAGACACAGCTGTAGCACACAGAGCCTAGGGGCCACCGTGGCGGGGTTCTTACCTGGGAATCAGAGGCCACAAATGAGCAGTAGGATACATCAATTTGGTCCTGAGTAATAGTTGAAATTTTTGAATTTTTAGACAAACTTTCTTGCAGATTTTAAATTTTTTTTAAGAGAGAGAGAGAGTGGAGAGAGAGAGAGAGAGAATTTTTAATATTTATTTTTTAGTTCTCGGCGGACACAACATCTTTGTTGGTATGTGGTGCTGAGGATCGAACCTGGGCTGCACGCATGCCAGGCAAGCGCGCTACCGCTTGAGCCACATCCCCAGCCCGATTTTAAAATTTTTAAATGACATTTTAGACACATCCAAAATGCTTTTCAATACAGAATTTGGAAACAGGCTACAATATTCTTCGGAATACAGCTATATAGTGAGTAGAAAAGGCTTTCAAAGTCATTCTCCTTTTCACATTTTTTTTCATTTTTTTCCTTTATTTTTTATTGATTCTTTTTAGTTATTTATAACATTAGGATACATTTTTATATAATCCCAAAAGCATGGAATATAATTTGCTCTAATTCAGTCCCCAGCACATGCCCTCTCCCCTCTGCTCTCTCGTCCTGCTTCCCTCTCTCTACTGATCTTTCTACAGTTTATTTATAGTATTTTTAAGTTAATGTCTTATAAATATACTTGATGTTGAGATTCACTGTGCTGTATTCATGGATGTACATATGAAAGTTCAGTCAGACTCATTCCATTCTTCTTCCCTTTTCCTGTCTCTCCTTCCTCTCCCTCAATCCCCTTTGTCTGTTCTACTGATCTTTCCTCTATTTTGATGGAATCCCTCTCTCTTTTATTTCCTTTCTCACTCTCTTTCTTTCTTCCCTGCCCCCAACCCCACTTTGGATTAGCTACTATATATCAGAGAAAACGTTCAACCTTTGAGCTTTGGGGACTGGCTTATTTCACTTAGCATGATAGTCTGTAGTTCCATTCATTTATCAGCAGATGCTATGATTCCATTCTTATCTATGGCTGGGTAATACTCCATTTTTTATATATGTCACATCATTTTTAAATAAGGGGGTTTATTTTTAAAAATATCAAAATCCGTGGATTTCTGGGTGGGTCCTCTGAGAAAACCAAAAGCTCTGAATATTGAGCCTATAGTTTGACATATAATCAAGCCCACTATGGCTGATTGGACTGCACCTGACACACACCAGACCCCAACCCTGCCCCACTCACTGGGCTTTTTCTGAATGTTCCTTCTCCCTCTCACAGGGTACCCTTTCAGAGACTCAGAAAGTTCTAAGTCATAGAACTTTCTTGTTTTCTGATGTGTTTCTACAGTTGCCTTAATAAGAGGCAACAGTCTCCCTACCTAGGTAGGGGATCTCTGTTCATTATCCTTTGCATGGCACTTTGGAGCTCATGTAGGACTTCACCGTTTGATCAGATCTTCATAGGCACTGTGATCAGTGTGCAGTATGGACTGCTTCTGAAACCCCCGAGGTGGGTCTTGAAGAACAGAGAGTGTTTTGTTCAGATGAGCCAGCTGAGGTTAAGTGGTGTGCCCAAGAGAACCCCTAAGCATCCGTGCCCAACCCAGACCTTGCTGCTCAGCAGCCTCTCCCCCAGCTGCAAGCTGGGGAGGCAGAGTTTTTCAAGGTTCAGGTATCTTTGGACCCTGGTGTCACTGACTTCCTGGTGGGAAAGGAGGGCAGATTTGGAGGAGCTTCTGAATCAACGTGGAAGGTAAAAAATGACTTTCTGTGATTTCTCAGTGAGAAAGCAGAACTGCAAACATCTGTAAGAGAAGTAAACTGTGAGGGAAACGGGGCCAAAGCCCAGGACTGAGGAGTATATGAGGTTTTGTGGGACCTTCCTGTTTAGGAAGGAGGAGGAAGGCCACAACAGGCCACCCAGAACTGTCCAGCATAAATCAAAACGAGGAGTGAGAATTGCTTTTCTGACTCTTTCCCACAGTGGCCCTTGCCTGGAGCCAGAGAAAGGCTCAGAATCATCCTCCTCCCCAACACTTTTCCCAGGCTCCTAAATCTCCCCCTCACCCAATCTCAACAGTTTCTGAGAAGAAAGGCTGAGAGGTAGATGGGTAGGGAGCCCAGGAAGCGTCCTGTGCTGCTAGGCACCAACC